TTCAATTATAAAAATAAAAATATAATGAAAAGATTAGGGATCCTATAAAAGATGGGAGCCCTAAGCGGTTGCTGAGGGTGCACCCCCTAATAGCAGGCCTTGCTCTTAAGATTTTTAGCTCATGTTCGAATCACTTCATTATCATTTTCCTTTCTTTTTACTAGCATTAAGTATAGTATTAATATTATTGTGTATTTTAAAACCCAAATGATATGGTTGGTTTAGTGGGAAAGGCTTGCATGTTATATCCGTTACATCTAGGTTTGACTTTCATGAACTCCTTCTATACACTACTTTATTATGATAATTGTTTTCCCTCCATTCAGACGGTGATACTAGTGGGTCAAAAAATAATTAAATTAAATAAATTTAAATTATAAAATAAATCCTTCAATAAAATAGTGATTAAATTTATTAAATTAAATTAAAATTATGATCAAATTGATAGAATATATAACTATTAAGGATTAAATATGGAATTATATTAATTTTGTTAATTGTCACATCAGGACTTTCGTCAGTTGTTAACGGCACGTGACTTGATTGACAACAATTAAATAGTTAAGTGATCTAATTAACAAAATTAAAAGATCGATGGTAAAAATAAAATGGTTAAATAGTTGAGTGGTCACTGTTATAGTTTATCCTAAATAATTTATCTTTACATTTTTAACTAATTTATATTTATACGTTGATCATTTAGAATTTTAAATTTTTATAAATTAAATTAACGATACTCATAATTAGGGATGGCAAACGGATACAGTTTCGTGGATTCCGCACCAGCTCCAATTGGAGCGGGGATGGGTATAATTTTAGCGGGTAGTTGGCGGGTGTGGATATAGAAAGTGGTACCCATCGCGGGTGGTGGGCGGGTAATGGGTTTGAGACATTACCCGCCCCGCATCCGCCCGCCCAACTAAATATCCATTAAATTTTGGACCATTATGAATTTAGGTGTAATTTTAGAGACTAATTTATAAATTCTAATATTGTATAAGATATAACATGTAATTTAACCAAATATTAGGGATATTTAGTCTTTCCTAATATTTGATTAAATCTACAAAAACCCAACTTTGATTCTTATATTTTGATTGTTTCTCAAGCAGAAAAAATAAAGGAAAAAAGGCGTTTCCTTTCTGTAGTTTTACCTCCAAACTTCACACTGTAAAGCTTAGCCACTTTCTGTCTCGGCTGTCAAAGCTTGTTAGATTCTTTTTCTACAATTAAAACTCAGGTATTTTCTCTTTTTCTCTCAAGCCCTATGATTTAAAAGTTCCAATTTTTTGCTTGTTTCTCGAGACACAACATATACTTCCATTTCATTTTTTTCTTCTAATTTCATTTATCGAGTGCTGATTTGAGATGGGTATTTTTTTTAACTTCAGTGGTGTTTTCAAAATTTTGAAGTTTTAGTTAGAGGGTAAAGAGTTCTAGAAGCTTTGTCAGAATTTTGTTTAAAAGCGAGTGATGTAGGATGAACAAGTAGAAGAGAAACTGTAGAAAATGGATGGGGAAATCTGAAATTGAATGAAAATAGTGAGTGAGTGGTTGGATGAAATTTGGGGACAACCTAACCACAAAGTCAACAAAAGGCTAAATTAAATATAGGGATGAAAATGAATAACACTGATTTGAAATTTAAATCATCCTAATTATTAATTATAATGGGCTTAATATATATATATATATTATTCTTTTAAAACAATTTGATTTAATGTTTATATTATCTAGATTTTTTTTCACTTACATTAAGCGTATAAGAATATTTGAATGTGATACTATTATCAGTCGAACATACATTATTATAATCAGATTTGTCTGCTCTCTGTTCTCCATCTTATTGATAATTTTTTTCGTCTTTTATTAATTTCTATCAGATTTGTTCATCTAGTTATATAATGAATTTGTATAGTTTTGTGTGTACTTCCTCCGCCATATTATGATTTCTTCCTTCTGAAGAACAAATGTTGGTGTTTTAATCTGATGTGTATCCTGTTGACATGATTTCTTATTGTTATTCCAAAACCCTACTGTGGAAGAACAAATGGTGGTGTTTTAATCTTATATATTTTTAATGTGATTAATATGTGTTTTATGTATCTTTAGTCGAACCCCGAATTATTATGAGTGATTAATATGCATTAATGTGATTAATATGTGTTTTATGTATCTTATATAACATGTTTTATTGTAATTGTAATTACAGAATGCATAATGACAGACAAAAGTGAACAACATAATACTACAACCACCTCATCACCATCAATCTCAAAGCCAACCACTACATCAAGTTCTACCCCAACTTCTGACTATGGTGACAAAAGTCCAAAGCAAACCGATGATGCAGATCCTATAGTCCTCCCTTTAACTTCAAGGCATACATCAACAACTTGGACTCACTTTACAAGAAAACGAGTTGGGAAGGAAATAAAAGTTGAATATAACTACTGCAATAAGCAACTTACTGGAGGACCAAGAGCGGGGACAAGTCACTTAACCGAGCATGTAAATAAATGTGTCAAAAGAAAATGTTTAGATATTTGAAAAACAAGGCTATTTGGAACACAAGCTAAAGATGGTGGTTCGAATGACACTCTTTCTTTGTCACCATATGAATTCCACCAAGATAAAGGGAGAAAAGACTTGGCAGAAATGATCATTTTGCATGTATACCCTCTTACCATTGTTGAGCATTATGGCTTTAGGAAGTACTCCAATACACTTCAACCAGGCTTTAAAGTTCCGTGTCGTAATACAACCAAGAAAGATATCATGCAAAGACATGAGACTGAAAAAGAGGGCATAAGTGCATTGTTGAGAAAAACGAATAGTAGGATCGCCTTGACCACTGACATGTGGACCTCAAGCAATCAAAGAAAGTGATACATGGCTGTCACCGCACACTTTATTGACAATGGATGGAAACTCCAAAGTCGAACACTTAGGTAATATTATTTTAGAAGTTTGTTCCTTTATGAAGTTTCACTTTCCTTTATTTCATGTGTTAATGCATGTCACATTAATATGATAGGTTTTTGTATGTCCCGGCACCTCACACGGCTGAGGTTCTTGCTGAACATTTGAAAGAATGCATCCACTCCTGGAATATTGATATCAGGTTGTCTTCTATAACTGTGGATAATTTCACAACTAATGATGCTATGATTGATATTTTGTGTCAAGAGTTTCCTTATGGCTCGTTAATGTTGCATGGATGTTTTCTTCATATGTGTTGTTGTGCTCATATACTTAATTTGATTGTTCAAGATGGGTTGAGTGATGTGATAAAAAATGGTCTTGGTAGAATTAGGGTTAGTATTGCCTTTTGGACTGCTTCAGATAAAAGAAATCAAAAATTTGAACAAGTAGCTAAGCAAGTGGTTTTTGAATGTACAAAAAAGTTACAACTTGATTGCAAGACTAGGTGGAATTCAACTTATGACATGATTATGGCTGCTTTAAATTATAAGGAGGTATTTGTTGTCTTGAGTGGCCGTGAAAGTTTGTTTAAGAATCTGCCACTTAATGAAGATTGGGAAAAGTTAAAGAAAATTTGTGAATTATTGGAAGTGTTTAACGATATTACACTTGTATTTTCGGCCTTTAAATATCCCACGACAAATAATTATTTTCCATGTATTTATGGGCTTAGAATAGCAATGTCAAATTGGCTTTCATCACCTTGTGATTATATAAGAAAGATGGTGTTAGTAATGATGGAGAAGTACAACAAGTATTGGGCTGATGTTAATGGTCTTATGGGCGTGGTCACTATATTTTATCCGAGGTTCAAGCTGAAATTGATTTGTTTCTATTTTGAAAAAAAATTATGACTCGTTTACTGTTCAAGCTGAGATTGATAGAATTGAAGGTCTTCTACATGAATTGATGGATGAGTATGGATATAGAAATGGTAAGAACCAAGCAAGTAAGAGCAAAACCAAAGCTGTTGGTTTTTTCAATACCAAGGGCAAATGAACAATGTTGAACGAGTTTGCTGAATTTGTAGAGTAAAATAATACTATAATTTCTGAAAAATCTGATTTGGACAGGTAATTAGAAACTGCTAATATACCATTTGTTGATGATTTTGATATTCTTAACTGGTGGGAAACAAATGGAAATAGTTATTCAACTCTCCAACAAATAGCAAAGGATATTTTGAGCATTCCTGTCTCCACAGTCCCATCAGAATCTGCATTCAATAAAGGTGGAAGAGTAATTGGTCCTTATCATAGTCGACTACTTCCGGAGACGATTGAAGCATTAATGTGTGCTCAGAATTGGCTTTGGGTCGATATTAAAGGTAATATTATTATTTAGTTTATATTAGTTGTCAAATTGTGTTTAATTATCTTATTAAAGTTTAGTTACTAACTTATATTAGTTTTACTTTCTATTATATATGTAGGTAGAAGTGAATTTAAATTAGAGCGCTCTTAATTGGAGGAAATAGAGAATGATGATTGTAATACTAGAGTATCAGATGTCACAAGTATTGCCTGAAATTTTAGAATGTTGTGCCAAAGAACAAAAACATTATGTGTTTGTCATTTATGTTTCTAGATTTTAATTATGTCTTTTATTATGGTGTTTTATGTACTTTAAGATCTATATTAACACTTAACTAAGATAATCCTTGGATTATTTTATTATGTTTCTTAATGGACATGTTTTTTTATGTTTGTTGCTTATTTATAACTTAAGTTTGCGGTTAGGCGGGTCTAGACGGGTACGTCGCTAGTGGGTAGTGGGTGTGAGGATGAATTTGAGAATGTACCCGCGTGGGCGGGTGTGGATTCGAAAATTTGTACCCATCATGGGTGGTGGACGGATGGTGGATTGAAAAATATTAGGTGAGTATGGAGATAGGGAGGGGGTATCCGCACCCGACCCGTCCGTTTGCCATCCCTACTCATAATACTCGTCGAGCATAGTAAAATTACCCAATATCTAATCGCGAATTCAAAAGTATTTTTGATACACAAAATCAATAAATCTCTAACGCTCGGATTTTATTACAATAGGTAGCTAGATACATTATAATCATGTAGTGGAGCCAGAAGAAGAAAAAAATGAAGAAAATGAGCAAAATCAAAGAGTAAAGTTTGATAACCAACGAATTAAATTTACAGTACCATAACAAGCAGCATTAAGCAATAGGGTACAACTACCAGAACCGGAAAAGTTGCTGCTAAGTGTAAAGACCGGGAAGAAAGTCTCGGAGACGAGGAGGAAGCCGGCAAGGCTCCGAAGGGCGGGAAAGCGGAGTCGGGGCCAGGAACAATGAAGTCATCGGGGTTCGGTGGACTAGGAGTGGAAGGGATGGTGGGCATGGATGTGCCAGTTGTTGGCACCAGTCCACCAGGAGATGGCAATAAGGGAGCAATATCAGGTGATAATGGTTGGAAAGGGGACAACGGGGGATCCGACATGGAAACCGATGAGGCCGAGATGGTCGTGGTATTGGAACTCAGACGAGAATCGGAAGAATATGAAGCAGAAGATGGCAATGGTGATGAGGCAATGAAATACATGATGCTGATGGGGAACCAAAAGGAGGCCATTTTGCTAATGATGAAGAAATCAATGTGACACTTACTGGAGAGTGGTCGAATGTTTTATGTATATAATATATAATTTTTTTTTTCTAGTGAGAAAAAAAAAGACAAAGGTAGTGAGCCTTAGGGAGTGATGATGGAGTCCTTTAAAAAGGCCAGATTAAGGGTATCTCAAGTGGGACCCCGAATGCTACGTGGCGAAATGTTATGGGTCAGTGATGAGAAATTACAGGTTGGCAATGGCAGTGTAGAAAAAGGAAATAGAAAGATGAATGAGTTTTTTGTTGGGACATGTTTGTTAGCTGATGGGATGGACTCTTCCTTTACAGCCCGTGAATCTGGCAAAATCCTTACGTTTTGGTTAATCAATTTCAACTCAATCTACTGTGCTTAATTATGTTTAGGCCAAATAAAAAGTAATATTGTTCGTAATTTTTTATTAGTCTATTGATAATTATATACATCTTGTTTGTAGTTTAAATTTAGATTTTAAACTTAAATTTTTTATGGAGAATTATATTTTTTTATTATTAAAATCACTTAATATATTCTCATAATCAATTTTTTTAATACTCTAGCTTACGATGATTATAAGATAATATTTACTTAAAAATTTTATTACCCATTGACAATGCATATATACCTGTAGACATGACTAATCAAACTTATGATATCAAAAAAAGAACAATCTTCAGCTTTATTATTGAGATGAAGGACGAGTTCTCATAATTGGATATTTGAATTAATTAAAATGGATTGTTTCAACTTAATCAAGATTAAGAAAGAATGAACTCGGGGAGCATAGATGTAAACAGAGAGAAACAGGAGATTTGCGGCAAAAGTGAAATTGGCGTAAATTACGGGGCTTTGCCCGAAGAGAAGACAATAGGGATAGGCAGATGGAGAAGAAGACAACATTGGCGGTGTTACGAACGTGAAATAAAAAATAATAAACAAAAAAAAGTATAAAGTTAGAAGACTTTTAATGCAGGTAAGTAATTCTTTTAACTTAAAGAAGAAAAAATTCATTTGTATCGTTCTATCTCTTTTATTTTTTATTTTTGTTATCAACCACATCACCCATTTTAATATAGATTATAAATTATTGATATTCTTTATTTTCTTTTTTTATATCATATTTTTATTTTTTTATTTTTAATAAGTCTATATGTGTTGTACGTTTTAATTTGTCTTTATGTCACGTTTTCTTATATGTTTTGCATTTTTTTCAATTCTTTGACAGTTATTATGTATCTTTTTTTAAGAGTTGATTTGATATCACCACGGTTGATCAAGATTGTGCTTATCTAATATATTGTGATCTTCTCTGCTTTGGACCTAGGATTGAATTTGGATACCGAATTTGCGTTCGTGTATAGTTTTTCACATCGCTCGAGTCTGATTTACGGTTTGTCAGTGATCTTTCAATAGCTTTATCTCCTTTTGTAGTTCGTTTGCCGATGCGATCAAATCTATTTGTATCTATCTTTGTTCGAGTTTCTTGGTTAGATTTAATCTTTCCTTGAATGGTCATTATATGATCTTATGTTACTAGTTTTATTTCAACGATTATAGGAAATTTTCCTAATTATGTGCTTAATTTACGATTGTGATTATAAATTTTTATTATAATTTAGAATATTTCCTATTTTAAATAAAATTAGTTGATTCTATAAAAAAAATTTATTTTATGCTCTTAGCAACTATCTACCATATATTCACCAAACTAATTTAAGACGATCTTTTATTTCTTCTAACTATCCCTCGCAACCAAAACCAAGAGGGAAAAAAAAGAATTAATAAGTCGATCCATCTAATCTTAAAACAATTTAAATGTTGTAATAAATCTATTTAATTTAATAAATAATTTAAAATACATTTATTTACTCTAATGATATACACTGGTGACATTTTAAATGCCCTAATTAAATGCCAACAGCTCATGAAATTAAGTGGTCCAAGTATTGTATTGGCATGTTAAAGTAAACACTAAAAACAAAAAATTAATTTTCAAAGGAAGTTTATATTTTGGTCTCACTACAAGAAACAAAATGTTTAATAACCATTTAATTCTGACATCAAATAATTTCATCATAGAAAATAAGTTATTTGTGACGAAAATAATTTGTCACTTTTGAAATGAGTAATTGTGGGTTATTTTTATTTGACCACTTTTTAGGTAATAGTTGTGACAATTTTAAAGTAAATCATAAGTTATTGGTCACTAATAGTATTTTATTTAGACCAAAAGCAAGTTGTCATTATCAATTAGTCATTAATAATATACTAGAATTGGCTTCAACTTACTTTTCGTAGGGAAAATTGTAATACCATATATTAAGGTGTCACTATTATTATTCATAATTGTGTCGAAAATATTTTGTTATTAGTTTTAGTTAATGATTTGTATCGACAATTATTTTTGTCACTATTGAAATGAATAATTGTATCATGTTTCTATTTCGTCACTATAAAATTTGACAGTATCATTTAATCTTCAAATATGAGAATAGGGTCAACTAAAAATTTAATCTTCAAATATGATTATTTTTTTAAAAAAAATTATTAATTTTGATATGTGACTTATGATCTTTATTAAGATATATGTGAAATTATGAATTTTTCAAACATCAGTTAATTATTAGTTTTATGTTTTTTTTTAATTTAAGACTTCCACCACAAGGGGTTAATATGTCAAATATTATTATTTTATTAAATATAGTTTAAGGACGCTTTATATTATTTTAGGTTTAAATCTTATATTTTTCTTCCAAAAACATATTTTATATGAGAAATTATATAAAACTTAATTAAATTATAATTATAATTATTATTATAATTAATATATTTTCATAAAATAAATAAAAATATTTTCAACAATAGTTTAACTTAAATATTATTTTTTTGTCAAAAACAAATATTTCTTTCTTAGCATAGTGGTTAGGTGTTGCACTCTTAACCTGAAGGTCCAATGTTCGATCATCTTATAAGCCATATATTATATTAATTTATCAAATAATAATATGTAAAATCAATAATCATTTGGTCTAGCGGGATGAGGCACTAGATCCTTTAATCAAATTGAATTGAGTGGGTCACCCTCACCTATGTGGTACTTGGTCTAAATTAGTCGATTAATAAATCAGACACTAATGGTTACAAAAAATAAATAAACATGTAGATTCGTCACATTATCTATCGTTAACGAATAACTAGACGATAACAATTATTGTAATACAAGTTTCTAAAGAAGATTTGATACAATTAAAAATGTAATATCTATTATAATAGATTTAACAATAAATATTTTAATCAATAAATTTAGTTGTGTAGTTGTGATAAATTAATATGTCACTAATAAGGATAATATTAGTGTCTAAATATTTGTCATTTTTATTAACCTTTTTGTGTTAAAATATAGTCACAAAAAACATAAGTAATTGTGACGAAATTCAATAAAATTGTCTCCAATTTAATAGTGAGAGTTATTAGTGACGACAAGTGACAACTCAAATTTTTTTATCAAACACAAATGTCATAGAAGTATTCAAGGAAAATAAAAAGATGGATAAATTCCACTTGTAGAAATATAGCCATATTAAGCTAAGGGCAATGCCATATATGTTATTTGAAGGTTAAATTATACTATTAGTTACTGCATTTTAATTCATATATTTTTTAAATTTCAGTCTTAATTCAAATAATATAAGAAAATACGATCAAATTTTAAATGCTTGAAATGATAAAGGGTTAGTTTGGAGGGGTTTATGAAAAGTGACTTTTAAAAGTTCGGTAGAAAAGAACAATTAAAAGTGCAGTTTAAAATTTAATTATTTGATATTGTTGTTAAAAATGAGTTTAAAAAGATAAAATGTCTATTATATAAATTATGTTATAAATTAAAAATATAAAATTTAAATTATATTTACGCTTATTAATGTTGTGATATATGAAATATACCAATTTAAACTATAATAAAAATATAAAAATACAAATAAAAATATAATTATAATAAAAATATGTTTTATAATATCTCACTATTAATATTTTAATATATTTTTATTAAAAATAGAATTAAATAAAATTCATGGTTTATATATTAAAACATTGATGACCAAAATTTTGAAATTAAAAAAATACAAAAATTAAAAATATAGAAAATATAAAATTTAAATTCGCAATTTACATATATAAAGATTAATTATAAAACTTTGACCCATTTAAAATCAACTAAAATATTTTATGTGAATATATATTCTAAGTAAGTATATTATTTTTTTATTAAATAATATCAAAGATTGAATTTGACTCGAAATAGGCCCAAATAAAGCCAGGTCAACAATCAGGTGAAGTAAGGTCCATCTCTCTTGCATCAACAAAGCAAGATTTGAAAATTTTGCAACGGATGCATAAATCTGGAGCGGTTTCTTTCAAGTAAATTCCCAACGGAGAAAAAGGAAACTAAGTATGACTCAGCAACAAAATTGAGAAAATTAAAAATTTGAATTGAATTAAACTATATGATTTGATTTGGTTTAAATTTTTATTTTACAGTTTCAGTTTGATTTAAAAATATAATTATACAGTTCAGTTTAATTTCAGTTTGTTCCTAGAGGTTATGTGTTTGAGTGCCAGCGACTGCAGCAGGGTGACTGAGCATTCATTGTTAAAAGGTTGAAAGTTTTTAGAACATATACAACTTTGTAATCACTTTAGCTTAATAAAAAAAACTAATTTCGGTTTGTCCATATGAAAATGTTTGTTTAAAAAAGAAAAAAAATAATTATCCAAAACAAATTTATTTTGAATTTATTATATTATAAACTTAAGAAAATGAAATCTTAAAACTGATAAAATTTTTATTTTTTTTATAAATATGGGATAATACAAGCTAAATACCTATTCAAAAACTTTCAATCATTTGACAATAAATATTAGGGACGGACCCAAGATTCCAACTTAAGGGGACAAAATATAATTAATCATAGAAAATGAGGAGGGAAAGTATAGTTAACCATAAAAAATGAGGGGTCAAAATCAAAATGAACTAAACTTTAGAGCCCTAATTTCATATTTTCCCATACATTTTTAATAATAA